TGGTTACCATTGGTTTCACAGCATTTTTCCCCCCTCTCATAAATTTCACTGAACACACATATTCAATACTGTAAGAGAAATTTAACCACCAGAGAAATGTATTCCAGAGAGTGAATAATATTGAATGCTACCAGGGACAAGCCAGCTCACTAATGGAATTAAGAGTTGGCCATGGGACAGAAACAGAAATCTAGATGTGGAAATCAACAGGTCTAGTAATCAATAGGACAATAAGAGTAATCTCCATTGTATATATATATATATATATTGCTTCTTTTGAAAAGAACATCAATAGAACACTATTGTTAGTAGGTAGAAATGCATTTGTCAAATGGGTATATTGAATCTACAGCCTAAGTAGGAAATTATATCAGATGTTGAATTCTACACAGGATGGGAGTTGTATTTCAGGGAGATTTGGGGAGGGGGTTCTTCCCTAATTTAATTTTCTATCCATTGTACCAGAATGCAACACTATAATTTAAAAATCTTTCACTGTAATTTAAAAAGCCAATATATAAAGGGCACATTTCATTTAACCCATGTTTCTCTTTATACAGGAGTAATCTCTTCCGTCTGTATAATCTCATGCAATTGGTGAGTCAGAAAAGACATCTGAAGCCTAAATTAGCTCAATGAAAAAAAAAGACAGAATAGAGAGTTCTGCAAGAACAGAGCTTGAAATTCAAGTTTAACCTGATAAAGAGAATGTTGCCCATATGTCCCCAGATCTAAGATATTTGCTATTCTAGTTCAGAAGAAGCATGAAAATAGAAAGAGATGGAATAAGTCACTCAACCCTGTGCTGGATCATCGGTACTATTCAATTTTATATTAAGAGCTGAGAGAAAATACAATTCCATTTAATTGCTCAGTACAGTTTCTTTGGGTCACTCATTCTAGCAAGAACATCACTATTTGAAGTAAATACTTTAAATATTTATTCAGGAAAGTTAATGGCAGAGATCAAATGGTCAAGATATAGATCTATTAACCAGTTGACTTATTAGCTAACATTCAGCTGCTAATGATCTCAAAGGAATATAAAAAGAATGTAATTTTTTGATTGGGGAATATCTCATTTTGTGGCTAAGTTTCAAAGTTTGGGGAAAACCACCATTGCTAGATCATCAGGCAATAAACAAACATGGATTTGGAAAATGCTCTTGCAATGCTTTTGTTCATTTATTAAAGATGAATTTGGTCATTCTAAGAGATGACAAAAAATACCCTAAATATCTTGGATGTTTTCAAATACACTTTCCCTAATCTCACCCATTTTACCTTTTATATCGGATTGCTAGCTCTAGAAAGTGGATCAGAGATTGCAAGGAGACAGGCATAGGAGCATCAAATAGATACTTTTGTTTTACTATATTTTTATAATGGAAGCAAAACTCACATTACAAACTGTTGGGCCATGGGTCTGGTACAAGGCTTTAATTTCCTTTTTCAAAAAAAGAAAGAAAAAGAACCAGCCGAGTCCATCACGAATACCAATCACAGTCCTAAGTAATCCTCTCCCTTCTTTTTTTTTTCCCCTGCCATAAAACTAAGAAATATCACTTAGGGGAACATATTACCATTATTCATGGTTGGGAGGAAACAGGTCATCAAAGTAGTAGGTACATTGCTTTTCAAATCACACAATTAGGTAAATACAACTAGGCAAGCATATATGGAGCACAGTTCCACCAAATGGATTTTTCAGAGCAACTTTAACCCCAGCTCTGTTTACATTCTCTGTTGAAAACCAATGAAGGTGGATAGCATAATTGAAATGCAAGAAACAGAGAAACAAGCATAAGGCATCCTGCTCGTTCCACAGAATTATTGCTATTAAGAAATTAATTCACCTAAGCATTTGTAGCTCTACCACTAGATTTAAATCTATTGGATATTTCCTTGAATCACATTGGAGAAAGGTCAGATTTGGCCAATTTTCTAAATTTGGCCAGTTTATGGCTGAACTAGATTATTAAATTTTAAGGGACCAGAACAAGATCCAGTGAATGCAATCAATTGGATCTATTTCCATTATATGAACGCAGATGTTTTAAAATTCCATTTAAGCCATCCCAAAACATTCAGGGCCCAGAAAGGCACAAAAAAAATGTCCTCTAGATAGAGGTGTTTCTCACAGTGTGAAGTTCAACTCCCAGAATTTTGGGTAGAGAATTCTGGGAGTTGAAGTCCATATGTTAAAAGTTGTCAAGGTTGAGAAACACTGCTTTAGATGTTTTGAAAAGCAGCTATGTCATCCCCAGACATGAGATTTGGATTACAGACAGGCACAGCATTATGGTGAACTATGACGAGATAGGCCATTGGGTATCTTATCGCTAATATGGGTTTGTAGATAGAATAAGTTAGTTTTGTGAAGAATCCTCTGGTACAGTTTGAGGAGATAACTGATGCAAAGGTGACCACAATATTTCAATTCCTGAAGTATGCATACTTCAGCAAATGTGTCATTTCTTGCAAGTGCCACCTATGGAACTATTTTCAGTGCTCTTTTGAGGATCAAGTGGTTATTATCAAGTTGGCCTTTAAAACAAAACATTGGGGGGGGGGGGGGAAGGTCAGTGCTGTGAGTTTGAAGCAAAGCTTCTGATGTTCCCTTGCTTTGAAAACCAGCTGACTGCTCTTGCTTTGATCTCACTCCCACCAAAGCCCATAATTACCTCCCAAGTGTAGTTAGCAACGCTGGAGGCATGCTGAAGACAAGTCCTTGTGTTCAGGACCCCAAGTGTTTTCCAGGACTGTTTCAAAACCCATGATCTTTACTATTTTTATTGCAACAAACTAATGATGCCAATTCACACAGGGGTACACATCAGCTAAAAATGCCCCTTTGTAAATACACCTAAGATGTAAAATGGACAAATATATTCTGTGTAAATAGCATGTTAAGTACATATACCAGAGAAAAGCATGTCTACCTTTTTTCAAGGTAATTGTGTTAATTGTGGAAACAAACACTTCTCTAAAACCGGGAGACCTGTTTTGCTGAATTACATACATTTAAGAGTTAATCCCACTGACAAACTGCACGCCGAAACACATACCACTGAAACTGAGTCCATCAAACATCTGCCCTAATTACTGACACTGCTGCTTTTGGAAATGCAAGTAAAAAAAGTCACATTCCAAGCGTTTCAAATTTTAATAGGAAGAACTGTGAAAGTCAGCCACTTGTTTCAAAAGTTGATCAAGCACCCTCCAGAATCAAAAGTAAAGTTATTGGAGAGGGAGAGGAAAATAGAATAAATCAAGTCTCTTTTGAAGCCATACTCTATATGGTCAAGCTTTCACAGATTATAAAATTGTACATTAAGTGGGCAGGTAAAAATCTAACACTCCCTATGCATAGACACCATATACAGCATTCACTGACATGATTTTCATTAATATACCAGTAAAAAAATTCTTTTGGGTTCTGGTCACTTTAGGCTATTCATTGAATACCTTTTCTCAGTCTCCTCAAATACAGTGCACAGCTTTCTGAGAAGTGCAGAAGTGGAAAAGAGGGTGATGTGGAGGGCAGAGGAAAAACTTAGATTTGGCTGTTTGATTCCTGGCTTCACCGATTAGTTCAAAATAGGTGTGCAGAGGGAAAGAGGACGGTCTAATGAAATTTCATGATGGTTCCTCCAAAAATATGGGACAAAAGGGGACAAAATGGCTGAGAGAATATGCAGGGTATATATTTTTGCACACACTTTTACACACATCTAGCTATAGTACATGTAAAAATATATGCTATACATACACCCATCCTCTTGGAGGTGCTTTTTTAAAGACACCCATCTGAATGTGTACATGTGTGATTAGCTATGTATGCATTGGTATGTATTAAATTTACATATCCTACTAAGTGTATTATGTGCATATGTACACATACATACAGGCAGGCAACTTGCCAACCATTTAATATCTACCTCATTTTTTTTTTCAGTACAAAAACCATTGTCTTTCACCGTAGAACGTATTAAGTACAACTTTGAAAGAGTTTTCCCCCACCCTTTGTATAGCAGCTGGTTTCTTATACATTGATCCTTGCACATAAAATCACATACAAAAAATTGCAAAGGGGAAGAGAGTGCAGGAAAAAAGAAAAGTGTGTGCGGCAACATGTGAATCCGCCTTGCTGTGTTTCTTTCGGGTGCCCTGGACGGGAAATCCTCCTTTTGCAGCACTATTCATGGGAGTGTGCAGACAAAACACTTCTCTTATTGCACATTTTTTTTGCTTCCAGGCTATTACAACAAAACACACTGTTTATATCTCACAGATTGTGCCCTCTGTTTACATCATTGGACTACAAGATATATTAACCCTAAAGCCTTACTGCCTCCCCCAACCCAACCCAGCCCTGGCCACCCACTCCCAACCCATCTATAAAGGAAATAATATGTAACAAAACCGAAGACTGCGCACTAGCAGAGTGCAAGAGTACACGCTGAACGGTGTTTTCTTCTGGAGCACTGAAGAAAAATTTACTTCTAACACAGTAAATGATGCCATGCAGAGAAAAGGATGGCAAAGAGGAGAACAACTATAAAATACAAGAAAAACAGTGAGGGTGGAGAGAAAGAGATTCTCTGGGGTAGAAGACAGAACGAATAGCCAAAGGATTTGGGGTGGGGGAAGCACAGCATGGCAAGTGCTGAAGGTGGGCAGGGGGGTTTTGTTTGTTTCAATTTAGTCCATTTCATGTAAACAAGCTAATAATTATCCTCAGATTGACAAGTAAAAAGGTTGCAGTTCCAAGTGTAAAGGACTGTGTTTCCAAGAGTTTTTTCAGCCACACCACAGCCAGCGTGAAAGATGGGGAGGAGAAAAACCAAAGCACAGAACCAGGAAAGGTCTAATTGGGAGCCCTTAGCAGGGTTGGCTCTGGTGTCTCTAGACCAAAGAAAGCACACTACTGTTTAGTGAACCCTTTTTTTTTTGTTTTCCTCTTTTAATGGTGTGAAAAAAAGTGTTTTCTTCCTCTTCCCTTTGCTCAAAGACGGGTCTGTGCCTCAGGAACGTAGATTTCAATGCTGTCCGCGCTCTCAGTGGCAGAGTTTTGTCGAACGGAGGCAGCGCGCTTGGCTGCCATGAGGCGTTTGCGAGCTTCCTGGCGCTGCTTGTCCACCGAGTCAGATGCCTTATCCCGGTTTAGCTGAGATTTCGGTTTAGCTGGCTTCTTTGGAACAGGAGGGGGTGGTTTCTTTTCTTCCTTTAGGGAGGAAGAATAGCAAACATGTAGAAAAACAGAATCCATAACTCTCAATATTACACAGCACAGACAGAAGTGGATTTTTAAAAATGAAGTACAGTTGCTAGTGCATCTACGTATCAATAATCCCACTCCTGCCTCCTTTATTTTGCAGGTAGTTCTCGACTTATGACCACAATTGGGAACAGAATTTCCACTGCTTAAGCAGGGTGGTTGTTAAGTAAATTCACACCCGATTTATGATCTTTTTTGTCATGGTTGTTAAGTGAACCACTGCAGCTGTTAAGTAAATCACATGGTCATTAAGAAAATCTGTTTTCTCTCATTGACTTTGCTTGTCAGAAGCCAGGCGAGAAGGTTGCAAATAGTGATCACATGACACTTCCCCCCCACCATACTGCAACTGTTATACATACATGCCAGTTACTAGGTAACCAAATTTTGATCCCCTGACCCCGGGGAAGCCACGATGGTCTTAAGCAGGGGGACTGCTCAGAGGTTGTTTTTTCCAGTATCGCTGCAACTTTAAATGATTGCTAAACAAATAGTTGTAAGTCGAAGATTACCTGTATTTCTTTTCCCTTATCTTTGATGAGTTTTCATATACCAAATTTAAACTAAGGAATGCAAACCATTAATTAAAAAAGCTAACAGTTTTGCTTCGCCCCCCCCAATTTAAATCTACTTTGTATGACTAGATTTTAATCTAAAATTGCTTTCAATGATTATGTGAGAAATATTTTTTTAAGGCAAAATAGAACAAAATTGCCAAAATCCCATCACTATTAGACTAATTTAAGGCAATAAAATTCAGGCTATGTTTAATCAAATTTGAAATAAAATAACTATCTTGAAGTTCCAGTTACATTATTCAAAGTGACAGAATCAGCATATAACATCATTTATAAGCATCAGAGTTAAATTTAATATAGTAATAGAGAGACACAATAATGGACAGAACTAAAGTTAAGATTCAAAAAGAGGATGTCTGACAAGGAATCATGGATTGTTCATATGCTATATTATCTTTTACTACAGATATACAAACTTAGGAACAGAGAGAATCAATAGTTTTTAAAAGTAACTCCTCCATATCAGAAGTGTGGGAAAATGCCATAGCTTTGAGACATGGTTTCTGGACAAAAGGAAACTTTATTTTGGACTGAACCATTCCCAGGAAACCTTGAATTGCTTCTAAGTCAGAAGAGTTATTTGTGAAAATCATCAGATTCCCAACAGAAAGGTTCTGGGTAGACTGGATGGGAAATGGAACGTTCAAAACTTCTCTGAAACATTCTGTTCTCAAAATGGAGAGCTTTGCACATCCGTACCTTCAACTTTCTTTGCTCTTTGCTAGAGTTAAAATTGCAGTCAGGGGTATCCACAGCGGGAATAAAAAAAATCAAGGTAGTGATGGTAACCATGTGTTCGTACATCAAATTGAATCAATTTTCCAAGACAAACTACCAATTTGACATGACCATTTGAATTAAATCAGATGGAAGAGATTTACACTCAGGGAACACATCAAAGTATTTACAACATGCAACATGAGTACGAGCAAAGTAATTACACCAAAGTTGCTCCAAATTTTGCAAACTATCAGAACTATTTACACCTTTTTGGATACATTAATAAGGTAATATTGGAGGAATAATTGAAGTACTTCACATTTTATGTTAAACATTATTGTGAATAATCAAAATAACATAAGTGCTCTAAAGAAAACTTGTCAATTTCAAGTATAACAGGTGGATTTTACTTGGGAAAAGTATATTTCAAAATAATGTGGGAGAAGGATTCCTAAACTCAAAATAATCATATGTCTGGCTGCTTTTGTAGACATGCTAACAGACAGCAGTGCAGTAAGTTATTCTGAACAATTCTTGCTGGCTCTTGAAAGAACTTCACAAGCTTTCAGTCCAGACAATGCACAATTTGAACTGTGTTGGTATGAAAACCTAAGTAGCATCAGATATGATTAGTATTTAGGTACGAGATCTCCAAGAAATACTAGATCTGTAGGCTAAGTTGAGAGTTGATTATATCTTTGCACTGTTGCCAAAAACCCCATGGACATGTCCATGAAGTCAACTTCAATCAAGCTTGATATGAAGGTGTATATATATTAAGTTCTACACTGCTTAAATCTAGTGCCTATTTTTGCTCCTAAATCAATCTGTCAGGGTTCGGAGGTAATCTTTGGAAAGAGTCCTCCTCTATCCAACGTAAAGCAAAGGAAGTGGTGTCCCATTTATGGAATTGCCATTACAGAGATGTTTGCCTTGCCCCAGTATGCTATTTTCTCAGTAACAACTGGATTTTTTTACTATAATTTTTTAAATGTACAATCATTTTAACAAATTGTAAAATATCATATTATATAGAGATTTGCACAGGATGTCTGGAAGCATGGCAGTACAGGCAATAAGATGTTTAACATGGACAAGAAAGATTCTATATAAATCCACAAAAACTGCATCATCTATACTGCAGGAGTTTGGCTTTGGTGTTCTTGATGCTTACCTTCTTCTCCAACGGCTCTGTCACCTGCCAACCGTTAGCTTTTAGGTGGTACAGCTCATCAAATTTCATGCTGATGTCTTCAATGGACAGCTGTAAGAGATCCCAAAACCCTGCAAGGTCCTGTGCTGTGGGCCTAGGATTGGAATTGGGGTTCTGCAGTGAACAAATAAGGTAGATGAAGTTCCCCTAAAATGTTGCAGTTCATTTAGAATTAAAAAATGAATTGAACTTGACTAGAATTGCAGATAGTTTTAAAGTTCATGCTAACAGTAATGAACAGATCCAAGTTCAGGTCCGTTTCTATGCATGATTTGAATGCAAGTAGCATGTGCAATTTGGTGAAATGGACTTTTATTTCTTTTATATCAATGTTTCACTACATAACAGAGTAGGCTGTTATTATTGTCAATACTATTTGTTGACTGTTCCTGCATTTGCCAAGCAAAGAAATTTCTCAAGAGCAATAGGGCAATTGCATTGTAGTCTATTCTGAACAAGAATCAAGGTCTATTCCTTGCCGTCACAGATAACTATTCATAGCAAAGAATCTAATACAATACTTATCTTCAATTTCTTACTTCCAAATCTTCAGGAGAATCAAAGGCAATCTTTATAGCACCTTGAATTGCACCCAGAGGCAAAGTGGTAACCCATGCAGCACACAGAGCAGAAGTATGATGTGTGTCCTCCTAGAGGCATACTAACCACCTGTGCTGTTATATTTTGCATCCACTGAAGCCTCAGGATACTCTTCAAGGGGAGCCCCATGTGCAGCACACTGCAGTAGTCCATTTGGGAGGTGACCAGGGCATGAGTAACTGTGAGCAGCCTCATGATCCAGGAATGGGTGGAACTGCTGCGCTATGTAAAGTTATACAAATGTCCTCTTAGCCACAACTGCCACCTGCTCCTTAAGCAATAATCATAAATCCAGAAGGACTCCCAGATTATGCACTGGATCTGCCACCTTATCCACACCAAAGATAGTAAAGTCCCAGATCCAGAAGGACCTAAGACTCAAAGCCACTCGGTCTTGCCCCCTATCCTGCTCATTTCAGAGAATATTCAAAAGTGCAAGCAATGCCATTTCTGTCCCATGCACAGAGTTGAATACTGACTGAAAGGGGTCCAGATAATTTGCTTCATCCAGAATCTGTTAAAGTTGCTGCATAACCTTCCCTGAAATAGGGAGGTTCTTGAGGAGAGATGAACCAATACTTCCTTGGTTCATTCATCTAATTAGAATGATGAATACACCACCAATCCACATGTCATCTGCCAGGCAGTCTTAGCCAATCAGCAGAGACATGAATCTAATGAGCTAGTAGCTGAGCTCCTAGTCATAAGGATACTGTCCACATCTGAATGCCCAGTCCATTAAACCATTCCCTATAACAGGGCAAGCTTTTGCCCCAGGCATATCCATAAGGACCTGCACCAAAGCTAGTGTCTAACTGGGAATGAATTCAAGTAATTTTGGCTGACAGATGCTCTGAAAATTTCTCTGCACAATGAATCTCTTGAGTTCTCTCCACCCAGAAGAGCTTGAGTCACCCAGAACAAGGCCACTGGGCAGCAATCCACAGATGCAATAAGGACAGAGATGTATTGTCTGCCACAAGGTAAGACTCCTATTCGGTTGAGTTCAGTCTTTGTTGACCTCCAGTTGTGCTTTAGACATCTCTTCTCCCATTTCTTCTTCCTTAGCTGTTCCATAAACCATGGAAAGTAGCAGAATCCATGGGAAGGGAGAGTGTCACATGGGCACATGCTGATTCAAGTTCATAGCCGCCCTCTTGTACCAAGTGGTAATTAAGGTCTCAGTTGGATTATGAAACAGACCATCACAAACAATCCCAGTTCCCTCTGCAACTCTTCTGGATCCATTCATTGTCAGGGGTGGACCAATATTATCTGCACTCTCTCTGAATCCAATTAAATAACCACCCCAAAGTGGAGATGGGTGGTGTAAGACTATATGCCATGCTGGAGTAGTGAGTTTGATACAAATAACAGAGATTTGCACACTCACCAAGTTTTGGTCACAGAGGCCACGGAATTGCTGGAATTTCTGTGACATTAGTAGTTGTGCACTGCCCACTGCACTGAGGACTTTGCCTAAGACTGAATAGGAGAGAAAGAAAGACAGAAAAACAGTCAAGCAAGATAAATAATTCAAAAACAGAAAATTCCAGGAGAGTTAAGGTAAAAAGACCTCTTTTGACCTTTCTGCATATTTATCTTCCCTCCCCCCTTCCAAGAACAGAACTGTTTCTCACTCAGAGCCATTAAAGGCAAGCCATTACAAATGACTTCTGGTTTCTTTGTCAGTGCATGTTTGGTTAGCCCATGTTCTTTCTACTGCCAACATTTGTACTGCCTGTACAGAAATGGCAGGCAGTCACACTGCTGCATGACACTTTGTTTATGATAGAAGGCCAGTGAAGTCTTTAGGGGAGGCAGAGAAAATTGATTTCCAACGCTATTTCCCCCTCAACTCTTTTCACAGTATTTGTGGCTACAAAGTGAACATTCAAGAATCCAACTTTCTAAGCACAGGTTTGTGACCCAGGACTTCTAATCATCCTAGGTTTGTCAACTCTGATGTGTGGATAGAGTCCAACAGCCTATATTTCCTAACAAGTGAAAAATTTAGAAATTGGTTTGTTGCCAAAAAGAGATTTAGAACTTCCTGGCCTACTCTCTTCCTAACCACACAGAAAAAAAGATTCCTATTTAAAACTCCACGTACTGTACATTTAACTTTCTTCAGAATTATAGAGTACTGATGGCACCATGGCATCTTTCTAAATGAAAGAAAGATGCAATATTTCCCTCCAGGGTATCAGTGAAAACAAAGAAGTGGCACACCACATCAATTGGAACAACTATTTTCTGCATTGACTATGGTTAATCACAACTGAAATCTAAAAAAAAAAAAAAGGAATTAGGATATACAGAGTTCTGCTGTTTGTCTGCACAATCCCTAACATATAGAAATAGACCTCCTTCCAATAACTTGCTTTTGGGCCCAGCTTTGCACTCGTGGCATGGAAAGATTTTGCCCATTTTAAGCTTCAAATCTCACTAAAGCCAGGTTATCATCCTTGCTCACCTTCTTCAGAGAGATTATTCTCTTTAGTCTCTTGGTCCATCTGTCGACACCACCCTTCCAACCTTTCTGTCTCTGCCTGCAGTAGCTTCTGAAACCAGTAACCATCCCTTCGGCAAGCTCCCGGCTGTGTTGGTTCTGATGGAGTGTTGGTGGATGTTTCAAGCCAAGGATCAGGAGGAGGGAGAGAGGAAGGTTCCAGGGCTGGGTCATTGCTATCTCCATAGGAGAGGTTTTTCTTGCTCTCAGAGGGCATGGCTGCTTGCCTCGTGTTAGCATCAAGGTTGTTGGAGTTGTTGCAGGGGGAACAATCAGCAAGGTTTCTTTCAGATGATTTACAGGTAGAATTATTCAGGTCTTGAGAGTCAGAATCTGTATCCTGTTTGTTGGACATGCTGTGAGAGTGGCTGTTGCTATAAAATGAAAGAAGGTCAAGAGACAATCAGGAAAAGCAGCCCTTACAGAAGGGACTGGATCTATTCCCCAGCACACACAGAGACAACAATATGTATTTGTTTATGTGTCTGCAGCTGAACTGCATTTCCTTGCCCATCTTTCCCTGCACACAAATACACACACCATACATGCAGACAGACGAAATTATAAGGTTGCCTGCTTACTGCAGTAGGCCATCCAAACAAAAACCGGCACGCATCTATAATTACATCTCCTGTTCTATTGTTCAGTTCAGACTTCCAATGATTCTCTTACATGACTAAGCCTCTTTGTTTTGGTGAGAGCACTTGCTGTTGAGAAAGTGTTTGGGGGATCACCACTACCCAAACGGTGATTTGGAATAGGAAAAAAGAAACTAAACTATAAATTGGGAGATTGCAACTGCATGGTTTTTTTTCCTTTAAAAAAAAAACCTGTGTCTTCCACTTACCGCCACTCGTCCTCTACCTGTACCCCGATGGACTGGAATTTGGTGGCTGATGGAGGGAGCTCCTCTTTTGCCACTGGTTGAAGGCAGTCAACCTTATTAACAAAAAGATACAAACAAAAAAACAAAAACACAAAAACTTGCTGCTAGAATTCACATTAGAAGGGGAGAGGCATGCATGCACACAAACACACACATAGTGATCATGCAGACACCACACATCAAAAGGCAGCAAAACTGTTTTGTTAAGATCAGGAAGAATGGAGCCAATCAGATATTTAATGCCCAACACTGACTCAGAGTGTCTAAAAGTTCTGAATGGGGGTGGGGGAAAAAAGAAGGAAAATTAGGCTTACGGCTCTGTAGCTAAAGTTACACTGTCCTATTAAGAGACAACTTTAAAAGGCAGTTTTCATTCATTTTCGATTCTGTTTACTAGGTTAATTTTTAACTGAACAATTAGCTACCCATAATTCAAAATTCTGTATTTAAAAGTCAAAGGTGAAATATACTGTTAAATAAAATGATCTAAAAGAAATGTTATAGGTATGAGAACAGAAAATTTATAGGTATGAGAACAGAAATGCAACCAAGGCAGATTACTGATATCTATATATCTATAGATATCTAATGTATCTACGGTATTTATTTGAATACGAGCTGCATTTAGAGTCAAGCTTTATCATTGCACTAAGACATAAAAAGGAAATACCTTTGCCTAAATGCTGCTTAGATTGTTCAACAGGCCTTAGTATAATTGGTTTGGAGAGAAATGTATTGATGTTGTTGTAACTGATATTTTAATTTTTTTTTAATTGTTACACATGCATGTGGGCAGAAACCCAAACTGCATCAGTTCTCTATTTGCATAATGGATGCCAATTGCACCAAAAGCTTATGCAGATTTGCTCAACAAATCTTTGCTCCTTAAAGCCTTTTGGTGAAGGCATATCAGGTGCACCAAGGGCAGTGCAACTAATTCCAACGTCCCACCGCTTTTTATTCAACATGGAAAGTCTTGAGTATTCTTAAAACTCAGCAAACATATCATTCAGAGCTATCTTTGTGACAATGTAGCACCAGGATCAAAATATTACATAGAATAACAGATTGGCACGATGCCAAAGGGAGTGTAGTCATTTTCTGAAAATGCTCTTTTAAGCAAGGGTAAATAAATAGTAGAGGATTTCAGAAATGGGAAACTCTTGTGCCACAAAAAGAGCCAGTTATTATAAAGAGGTTGTCAACTTCTAGTCATGCTGGGTGGTGGTGGTGCTAGTTTCATGGCAGTTAATTCTGCAGACACCCCAGGCTGCTCAATCCCATGTGAAACCTATCTCTGTTCACTATTACAGGATTCCTGTTTGCGTCCTCGTCCTTCTAAAGCAGTGTTGCTCAATCTTTCCGGGTTTGTGGACCGGTGGGCGGGGAGAGAAGATGATTCCACTTGAGGGGAGGGCAAGCATGCTCGCAGCTCCATTTACACAAGAATGGAGCTCTGCGTGTGCGCTTGCACGCTACTTCTGCGGCCTGGTTCTAAACAGGCTGCAGCCCAGTACTAGGCCGTGGCCCGGGAGTTGGGAACTCCTATTCTAAAGGGCTGCTACTGTATCAGGAAAATGTTATCACAAAACCACCTATAAAATAGCAAGTATTAATTTATTAAACAATCCCAAATTAATCCTCTTTTTGTTGCTGGATACAGATAGTCCTTGACTTATGACCACAATTGGGACCAGAATTTTGGTTGCTAAGCAATGGAAATTTAAGGTTGTTAAGTGAGTTGTGCTTGAATGTATGACCTTTTTTGCCACTGTTAAGTAAATCACTGCAGTTGTTAAGTGAATCACATGGTCATTTATCAAATCTGACTTCCCTCATTGACTTTGTCAGAAGCAGACTGGGAAGATGCAAATGATGCTCACATGACCTCTGGACCTGGCAACTCTTCATAAATATATTGGTTGCCAAGCATCTGGATTTTGATCACACAAGGATACTGTGATGGTCATAAGTGCGAGGACCGGTCCTAAGTCACTTTTTTTTAGTGCTGTTGTAACTCTGAATGGTCCCTAAATGAATGGTTTTAAGTCAAGGACTACCTGTAGTATAACATTCTTACCATGTTCATTAGATTGCCTAGAAATTTCCATGGTGTTAAATGGCTACATTCCTTATAAAATATAAGTAGTGATTATTTGATAGAAAGCTGTATCAGACATGGCAGAATGCTATGCTTAACAGTTTCAATAGTTATGTAAAATGTCTTTTTCAAAATTCCTGTATTAGAATATCTGCAAAGGCAAAGCCCAAACTAAGTGACATTTTATTGACTGTCAAGCAACAAGCATCTGATGATGTTTATGATGTGAAAAGGAGAATAACTGGGTTTATTTTAAATATCTTTTGTCAGAAGCAGGCTGATTAGATTTTGTAAAGCACATGCATTCTCTCTACAGCAATTTGGGAGAGCTAAAATGAAAGTCACATGCATACAGACACCTTTGATTCCCGAGCTTCCTTTTGTGACCATTTCTTCGATCAAAAAGGAAGGCTAAATATTTGGTTGGTCATCAGTTTATTTAACATCAATTATTTTATCTCAGGGCACACAAGTGGGACATTTATTTCCAAATATGATGCTTTTCCACGCTTTCATGTAGTCTAATTAGTAGGGAAATTTCCTAAAAGCCTCATCAGGATGTTATGCTCGCTTCCTCTCCTGCTTTAGAGTTCCATTCTTCTATGGCAGGGGTGGGAACTATGGCCCCTTTATGACTTGTGGACTTCAAGTTGAAGTCCACACGTCATAAAAGAGCCATAGTTCCCCACCCCTGTTCTATGGCCTATTATCTTATTCTGCAGAAGCATGGCCAAACTTTATGGCAGCAATGCTCAAATAAAATAATTCTCTGCATTTTACATTTACCATACCAATTCAGAGATATATCTCCTGCTTCTGTCTGCGACAACTACATGCCTTTGCTAATGATTCCATGTATACTTTGACCAAAAATTATCTACCTTTGTTTTTTCCCAAGCTAAATCTCTGCAAATTTTTACAAATAACTTCAACCTTAATTATCACTGACAATTCTAGGAAACGTAAGTAATTTAGAGATTACTTCTGTTTAGAAATACCTTAAGGGATGAGCTTAGTTCTACCTGCTGTCTTTGTCTGTGACATCCTATACATCAGAATGGGTATGGTGATTTATTCCACCTAGGCATGGTGATCCAAAGGGAATGTATCAGAATGAAACAATTTCCTCAAATACAGAGCTTGCACATTTTTTCCGAATCTTTGTGTTGCTTAATTTATCCAATGGCATTTTTTCTCAAATGTGCCCCCCCCCCAGGATTTTATAAAGCCAAATCACTCCAGAAGCATGCAGTAGCATTGACCCCAGTGCAGTTAAACAGGTATGCACATTTAGAGAAATGTTACAGTAAGATCATCTTCTAGTACTAATGAAAACAAACAGGTCCATACTTGTATTCCTATAGATGACAGCTTCCTTTTGGGGATGTTCTCCACCTTTGGTTCTTCGTTAGTCAACGTTCCTTTGTCACTCTTCAAGGATGCATTTTTCTGAGGTAACTCAGGAGGCTCATTGGCTGGAGTGGTGATGTTTCCTCTCGTTACGCTAGGTGGCCTATTACTGTCTAAGCTATCTGAAGAATTGCTCAGTCCCGACTGGCTGTTGACTTCACTCTTGTGGTCCTGGTTGTCCAGGTAGTTGTCTTGTGCCGATTCAGTGCTGCTCTGCACCGTGACAGAGATGAATGGCTTTGAGGTGGTCCGAGGTGGGACTGGTGGTGGCGTCTTTTTATAGCCCACTAGGCATGCCGAACCTGCGACAGTGGAAGCAAGGAAGTGTGAAGGGATAGGAGGGTCATGGAAGAAAGAAAAAAAAAGCAGCAAAAAGATCTAGTGAATAGAGAGCAAATGCAAATCTCTGTATTAAGAGAAGCTCATAAGCACCACTGCAAAATGCCCCAGTCTAACCAGCAACAAAGCACACAGCAGCCCAAACAAAGCACGCTATTAGCCAGCACTACCTTGCTGTGAAAATCAAGGGGAACATTATAACACAGACTGGAAGATAATAAAGAAGTGAAGAACGCCCTTCTAGAAAGCTATAGAGCAAGATTAAGTTGCTACAGAGCCACCTTGGCAGCCTGCAGTTTAAATTTTGTATTTAAGCTTCTGGTTAAGCCACCCTCTTGGTATTTGAAAGGATCAGTTGACAGCCTTGGTATCTTGACTAACTGATACACCTAAAAAAGGAAAAATGCCACAAAAGGATTCTGTCAGGAAATATACATATTCTTCATGATTTTGTTAATAAATAAAATTATTGTGTATTAAAGCTCTAAGTCTGATGGCTACCTGTATTCTAGAGCTAGAATGAAGAGGATTTCCCCATTTTTTTCACGTAGAATGTATAAAATATTCAAGAAATATAGTTATATTCATCTGTCATAGCCAAGACAGACTCATTGAAGGGGTGCCCAAATGTTTCCACCTGCCATATTCATCGTTTTCTTATTTTGAATCAGTAAATCTCAAATATTATGTATTTGCAGAAAGGTTTTGGGTTAAATTTTTGTACATATAGAGGTTGTTCCAGCCTCTGTTCATTAGGAATTCATTCAAGCATACAATTTGATCAAAGGTGCCTAAATGTTTGTATACAGCTGTACATGTTGGCTACTTTCTTTTAATTCATATAGAATTTTAGGTTTCAAGCATTTCCCCCCAGAAAATAGCATCTCAGAAGTTGGCATTTCCTATGAGTAACTATCAAATAATTCCAGACAAGCATTTGTTCCCTTTAATCTTGGCCAATACCGAATCGCTTGCTGACAGTGAGCCAAGATTCTTTTTTTTTAATGGTTTTTTTAGGTACTGTACTTTTTGGCAGGATCCCATTTTAATAAATCAACACAAGAGCCAAGAACTATTTTTCATATGTATCTTTTTTCTTTTCCCCCTAAGACTTATTTTTGAACACTATAGCTTATATTTTTAGGGTTTTAATATTTTGGATAATTTTATTGTAGCAGATTTTTAAATGATTTTATTGTGGCAGAGAACAACAATTATAGTGAAAGATCTCTCTGTTGAAAGGATAACAGTGTTGACATTTTGGAACCCAAAGTGCCAGCATATGTATTTATGAGTTTTTAATGTATTTACTAAGAAAAACTGAACTGAAATCAAATGCATTTCTCACTGTTTGAAAAGAAAGGTAAGTATACATGTTCTGATGCAAAATGGAACAACTGTTTATGGGGCCCAAAGTATCCTAAGCCAGCTTGAATAAACTGACCAAGTATTACTCAGTTCTACCCAGTATAAGGCCTCCTGTCTATAATAGGATGTCTTTAACCCCCAATGTTAAGTGGAAAACCTGGATTAAAAAGTCCACATACGTTCCAATATTCCATCTTCATGATTCACAATAATTTGTTTATACACTTTCAGTGTTGTAAAAAATCGTAACCTTATATTAAGGATCTTATACTTCCAGTAAATATACCTACAAGAGAAATCTATCTTGTGATATCTACATATACAGGAGTTATCGGGGGTGGGGGTGGGGAACAAAGATGGTTTCTGAAGTGTTGACACATGTGTATTCAGCACTGGAAAGAGAAAATCTAAAGTAGTTTGTAAATTTACAGCTAATTGTTACAATGCAAAGAAGGACAGATTCATTTAAAAAAACAAACAGATAATTAAGCAAATTGATTAAGAGCCAAATCATTCATTGTAGTGAAGAAAATACATATAGAAAAAAGCACAATATAAGAAAAAATAACTTTTATATCTGTCACTTCTAATTCACTTATCTTTGTTAAGAGTAGCCAATGACTTATAGTTTAATCATGCTCACTTTGGCAGCACATCTACTATTTATTTAATCAAAACCAGCTTGAGATTGTGAATCTACTCCATATAAAAAAATCCTTGTTGTAGTATGACTCCTGATTGGACTTTAAAGCCATTCCATTTGCATGTATCCAGCTTTCCAGATACGTTTTCAATATTGCTATATTTAATAGATTATACGCTTAAAAAATAAACAAACTAGGAAATAACGGACACAAGAACTAAGTATCTACTAACTGGGAAAGCTTTGATTAAAATAATTTTAAAATATTAGGATTTTTGCATACTTTGAATTTTGAGAGTATATTTTATGTGTTCTGATAAAATGGCTGCTGTGGATGTGGCAATAATAAAACATGCATTTACTGGAAGGCAAACAGTTGAGACTGTTCCTTACCAGCTCCTCCAGTCTCTCTCATTGGTCTCCAATGCTTATTTGTGTTTTTCAAGACAAATGTTAAGGTGTTGATTAGGCCTGGTAGATCCAGATTCATGTTCGTGCTATGGAACTAAGTTGATAACTTTGGGCCTGTCATTTTCCCTAAGCCCAACTAAATTCACAGGCTTCTTTCTGTGCTGTAAAGATAAAATGAAGGGTGATTCTGTGTACACCACTTTGAGTTCCTAGGAAAAGTTGTAAACATAAATCTGTAGCCCAGAAGCTTGTAAATTAAGATAATTTACAAGATAAATTACAATTATAATTTAGTTAAGATAGAGTGCCATTGTTTTTTCATCATTTTATTTATTAAGTTTTTATGCCACTCATCTTTCTATCCAGAGCGACTCATACTAGCTTCCATGTAAAATAAAATCAGTAAGGTATGGAAGCTGATAATGTGTCATTTGATTCTATGAATTGGGTCTTGCATAATTAGGTATATTTATCAAATTAGATCTAATTCTCAATCATACCCAAGTTTACATATGTCAAATTCATTCACCTTTCATCCTGAAAGATCTCAATGCTTTCATACAACGTTCTATTTCATTTTCTGAAATAGGAGAATGTAAGTAACACATATTNAGCAGGGCGTTTCAACCAGTGGTACGGGTACTACCTGTGGTACATTGGCACCTAGCAGGTGGTACGCGATCATCCTAGAAAAGTGGTTGCGGGGGAGGGGAATGAACTGAACCAGTGGCAGCACTGTACAAGCCTGAGCGAGAGATGGCTGGAGCTGCAGGGGTGTCCGGGCTCAGCGGAAGCGCCAGGATCAGCGCCAGGCTCCAGCTGGAGCTCAGTGCTGATCCTGGTGCTTCTGCTAAGCCCTGAAGAAGTACCAATCAGCTGGAAAGCAGCACTGATCCTGGTGCTTCTGCTGAGCCCAGAAGAAGCGCCGATCAGCTGGAATGTTGCAGCATCTCCAGGGTCTTGTGATTTACATTCAGATGCTTGGCAACTGATTCATATTTATGACGGTCAGTGTCCCAGGGTCATGTGAAGTGACCAAAACCTGCTGCAACCACCCAGCAGATGGGGGGAATAAAAAACAAACACCCCCAGCCCACCCCCGCTGCCAATCCTCAACAGAAATGCTCACAACAATGAAAACCTCGGACAGAAGAAAAAGCGCGGCCGGGCAGGCAGGCAGGTGTCTTGCTCGGCTGTGGCTTGGGGGGCACTTTTTTCAGTGCCATTGTAACTTCGAACAGTCACTAAGCGAACTGTTGTAAGTCAACAGTTGTAAGTCAACAGTTGTATTTTATCACTTTTTTCCTTTTTTTTTTTTTTGGTCATCAAGTTTTTGACACCTTGCTAGGCAACTGGTGGTACTCGGATGTTGCCATATCCTAAAAGTGGTACAATGGGTGAAAAGGTTGAAAAGCCCTGTTCTAAAGTACACTATTTCAAGAATTTCAAACGATGACAAATGAAAATCATTTATCTCAATGACAGGGTTTATACATCATGCAGCTTAGCCATAATATGATTTGTGTGTGTGTGTGTGTGTGTGTGTGTAGGATTGCTCTTGTAAATCTAGCCAACCGTGGCTTATTTACCAACTATGATTAAATAAATCATAACATGTAAGCAACATGCGAAGATAACTCAGATAATGTTATTATGTTTTTGCCTTACTGATTAAACAATGAAGCTAATCACTATTAGGTAATAAATTCAGTCAAAATTTACCTCAGATTGCTAACATGTGTTTGATATCAATGATATCTCTGGGATAAAATATATGTATGCTAGTGATAAATTTCTTAAATTTTCTCAGCACAAAACAAAGAATATAATGTACAAATTATTTAAAATGAAAACAGAGACCATTAAAATAGGTTACATGGCAGTTCACATGGGCAGCTATTCATTTTTCTTTAGGGAAACGAGCAATATTCTTCATGGATGTGATGGGGGGCAAGGGGGGTCCAAGCATTTAGTTATGTGAACCATGCAATGAACCCACAACCATACCCGGTGATTCCTGCTATCTTCCAGTGATGTTAGGCATTCCTTTCTCTGCTTGCTGTTTCTTTCTAAGCAAACACAAGTATTTGAAGAACAATGACTCACTTTAAACAGAAGTGCCAAATATAGGCAACTATTATAGCTAAGGATATAAAGCTGTAATTCTTTCTTGTTAATCCACACTTTAATCCAAAATCTATTTTTATCATGTGTGGTTATTGTTGTTTCACATATAATTTGCCAACATGGAATAAACAGCCAGTTTCTTATTTAAATAATGCAACACAGTTATTGAAAACACTTGGAAATTATGTTAATCGCTCAGTGACTACTGGCCCCAACCCAGAGTTTTCTTGACAACAGTTCAGAAGCAGCTTCCCACTGCCTTATATTGAAGTATTTTGACTTCCTGATCTAATCTACAGGCCCAGTACAAACTCAAATGATACTGGAGCCTTGGGTATAAAACTGAAAGTACAGATTCTATGTGATTCAATAAAAAATTCTGAAATATATTTCAGAATGCATGAATGAATGAGA